TCTAGCTGCTTGGAGGTGAGTGTTATCGCTCTTACCGGTTCACACTCCATGCCGCATACGCTGCTTGGACACTTGGTAGCCACGCAGATGCTGTGAGAGGGATGGGGCTTGGAGGTGGGGCATGAGTGAAGCAGAGAGGGTGGGGGAGTGACGTGAAACCTGTTTTTCTTCAAATTTTCAGTCGGAAGTCTGCTCTCTTCTCAATGTTACAGACTGCAGCTTTAAAGCATTTCAGCCTTATTGAGGTTTTGAATATGAGTTTCTGTGCATCTTTTTTATTTTTTAAACCATTCTCCAAAGACATAAAATATATATTTTCTGCTGTCATAAAAAAGCATTTGATTGTGCTGAGGTACAGTAGACTAAATGTCATTTGTGCCTGAGAATGTTGCTGTGAACCTGCTCTTTCATCTGATTGTGGCAAAGACTGGCATTTACACAGCATGCTCTTTGTGTTGGTTCATAACAGAAGTGTTAGTACTTATTTTACTGTATTATACACACATGATTTTCTTACAATCTAATTCAAATTTTCCAAGGACCTCAACTTAGATGATCTGAGATTTTATGAAAATTCCCATAAAAGTGCGGAAAGAAAGAAGAGGGAATGTTCATACCATCAGGCTCAATATGGCTTGTGCTTGTTTGCATAAGTTCTCCTCCAGTCAGAGTGCTGCTGGTAGCCACAGCCAATTTTCAGCATGATGATCATTTTGAAGTGCTTGCCACACAGTCTGTATGCCCCGTTCCCAGAATATTAAGCTGTCAAACCAAAGCTCTTTCTTCTTCAAAGATATCATTCCCTTTCTTCCTCCTTACACATAGTACTTTGATTACAATAAATAAAGGCTGTATTTACAATAAAGTTATTTGATTATTTGCTGATAAGTGAGCAGCTTGGCTAAACAAGTTGTTGGATAGTGGTTTGGAAACGCTTTTATTTTTATTCCTGAATGGCTCAATCTATTATTAAACATGTATTAAATTGCATTTATTGTTCAGAAAACCCTAGCTTGATGTTGATTTTTGATTTATTTGATTTGACAATTAATACTTGTATGTATTGATCTATTCCTGCCTAAAATGTCTATTGTAAGTGCATGTCTGGATCTCTGTAGGATTTCTTTTATATCAGAAAAATATATTTAAAAATTGCTTGTGACTTTTAAATAATCAGTTTCTATCTAAGACTACCTTAATGAATAAATGTATGCTGGATTAATTATTTATTTATTTTTTTTAAACCATTTTCTTGTCTTGCTATTTTGGACAACGTAGTACTAGAGTTCTGCCCTTTTGTTAACTTAACAGTACAAGAAATAATAATTATAAACAATTTCTGCTATAACTTCTATATTCTTTTTATTTAACTTGTAAAAAGGCTTGTCTGCTTTAGCTTTATTTTTCCTAAACCCACTACATCAAATAAAGTTTTATAAAAACAAAAACTGAGATAATTCTCTCTTTGAGTGAAATTTCAGTCTCTTAAGCAATCCTCCCTTCTCTTCCAAACAGTTCTTTTAATACCTACCACATGTTTAATGTACATGGTTGTATACATATTTGTACAATGACTATGGCTGTGTCAGCTATAGGTAGTAATTGTATGAAGATGTGTGCAGGCACACCTGAATGTGTAAATGTATGTTTATATGTACATACAACAATTTTATTTGCTCACTTAACAAACTTTTGCAGTGGTGTATTCATTATTACTTCCACCATGGAGGTTACTGTATGTTTTTAGCAGAGTCTGTGTTTGTCACACAAATTCAGATTTTAATAAAATTGGAACAGGAATTTCTTTAACAACAAGTACAAGTACAAGAACAAGTAGTTCCCACCTAAACAAAAGGGTGGCAGCAGTGAGTATTGAAAGCCTGAGCAGTCCAGAGGTTTTTTACTGAAGACATAAACACATGGTTTGTTAGCAGAATCAATTGAAATCTATGAACTTAACAAAGGTGTGCTTCATGTCGAGGCACAATTAATTTCCATTGGTAAATTAATTGTTGGAATGAAGTGGTAATGATCCGATGTTTTCGAGTTTTAGCTATAGGTGTAATTCACAATTTGGGGCAAAATATGCTCCTTGGCGGAGGGCTTTGCTCTCTGGGTGCTTTTCTAGTTTCTTTTGCTTCCCTCCATTATCTGTGATTGCAGCTTTTCATTTTAAAACGTTTTTCTGTTGAATTTGACATTTTGTGTTTGCATGTCTTGAAGTTGGTACCATTTGTTTGCATTGGGGTTTGCCATATGCTGTGTGTTCAGCCGTTTGCACATTTTTACCCCTGTTGCAAATAACCATCAATGTTTTGGCTTAATACGAACTATCTTGAAATGTTTAATACAAAACCCTTTGACACAACATATGTCTGACATAAAACAAACACATCTGATATATATATATATATATATATATATATATATATATATATATATATATATATATGTGTGTGTGTGTGTGTTGGTTTCACGTTTTTAGCTACTAATGTTGCCAAAATATCCAGCTTTAGCACCCGCGGATTGGGCCAGGAGGCCTCCGCCTATGATCCCGATCTTCTTCGCTTTGGGCTTCCCCCAGCAGAGCTGTAGGAGGTATCTGCGGAGAGGGAAGTCTGGGAGTCTCTAGATAGACTGCTGCCCTCATGACCTGGTACCGTGTCAAGTGGGAGACGATGACGAGCATTAATAAAAAAAACTAATAAAACTAAGACTAATGTAATGTTATTCAGAAAAAGGATGCATCAGACGCCTTAGTCATCTTACATGCTCATCTACAGAGGCAGTTTCCTGCCCCCTACACAAGTCACTGCTTCAATGACATCATGTTATGTAGCAATTTGTTGTCCTTATACACAAACATTAGATTAACCACTAAAACTCAAGAGTTAACATTTTTATTGCCTAGCTGGGGATGAATAACGCTTTTTCTGACTAAACTGACATCTCTCTCAAGTAAATTTCATAAATCTGTAAAAATTGTCACATCTCAGAATTCAGATTTTTCTTTCTCCTTATATTATTTAAAATCACCAAAAACAAATAATAATTCTAGTTTAATAAGGTAAATTTCAATTAGGAAAATGGTGAAATATTTCAAAAGGAAGATCATCTTGGATGTCATGAAATATGATGCCTCTTTCTAAGATACTTAAATTTGTCAGTATTAAGACAGCACTGGTGTTTGATATTAATATTTTCATATTTTTCTCTTTTATGATCTGTATTTTTTCATTTTAAGGAAGAGAAAGTTGCTATGTAAGAAATTTCTTTTTTACTCACTTTACATTAATTTCTGCATTTTTAAGATCACATAAAACATTGGGTCGGATTTATCAAGATCCAATTTTGCGTGCAGTAATTTGCGCTCGCAAACTGGAATTTT